TTACAAAAGAAAAAGGACATTAGGTAAAAACCAATAAAGTCTGAATAAATATATACTTTAACTTTACATAGTGTATCAATACTGGTTCATGAATTATGATAAATGTGCCATAATTACATAATATTTAACAATGGGGGAAACTAGGTACAGGGCACACAGGAAATTTCTACTATTTTTTGCAACCTTCTGTAAATGTAAATATATTCTTAAAAAAGTTTATTGGAAAAAAAGATAAAACACAAACTAAAAGAAAATATTTGCTAAGCATATGGTGATAAAGAACTTGTACCCAGAATATATAAAGAACTTTTAAATTCAATAATAATGAGGAAAAAAACAATTTTTCAATGAGCAAAGATTTGCACAGGTATCTCCCAAGGAAGAGGCAAATAGACACATCAACATCATTCATGATCAGGGAAATCAAATCAAACTTCAATTTAATTTTTGCACCCATTAAAATGGCTAAGGTCCAAGTGTCACCATATCAAGTGTCAGCTTGCAGAAGGGCTGCACCTCTCAGATTCTGCAGGCAGAACTACACAGTGGTACTGCCACTTGGGGATACTTTGGCAGTTTCTTAAAAAGGTAAACATCCACCTGCCTTATCACCCAGCTATTCCACTTCTGGGTATTCATCCATGAGAAAAGAAAGCATACTTCGTATATTGCTTATACAATTTTAAAGTTTTTCTGTACATTGTGATATTTCCACATCATAAAAATACTTTCTGGCTAGCAGCAGAACACCCCTTCCCGAGTGAGCCATTGTTAGAGACAGCAAAGAGCCAACTCTTTATAATTAAGAGCCACTTTGAAATTACTTAAAATAGTTAATCCTAAACATTTTACCCCATTCTATCTTGCAGAACCTCCAATAGGGCCATGGCCTAGGCCCTTCCTGCATTCCTGCCTTTCTGCCCCGGGTATTTCAAGCCAAAGTGTGAACAAGGCACCATTTTCCCATAACCCAGAATCCACTTCTATCAGTCAGAGTGCTATCAGAGAAGCAGGGCCACTGTGGAAACAGATGGTTAAGAATTGAGAGAGGGATTTTGAGAGCCAGATCTGCCCACAGTCTTGATAGGGACTGCAGGATGGTCTCCAGGGAGGCTGACGGGTGCAAACTGGGGGAGAATAGGACAAGATGAGACCCACCAGAAGAGACCAGAACCATGAGGTGTTCTCAGTGCCTGCAACCTTGACAGTATGGGTGTCCCATGGAAGAATTCGGCATCCTTCCTCACAGGTTAATCATATACCTGTCCCAGGTATGGGAGGAGCCAGGGAAAAGTGGAGGAATGTTGGTCCAGCTGCTGTTTTGTGCCCATGAGGAAAGCCCATGGACGAGTGACAACGCATGTGAGCTACAAACACACCTGTCCTGAACTTCCACCTGCTTTGGTTTAAGACCAAATTTTTAGACCAAAATACCCATGTGACTCACCCTAACCAGAAGCATCCAGAGAATGCAATGCTGGGAAACAAAATTAAACCTTGCCCAGTCCACACATGACCTGAGCTGAAAGGGAAGTTGTGCATCCTATAAAATAGGGGTCTGTTAGTAGAAGCGATGCATACTGGGTGGGCAGGTAGCTGTGATGGCTACCATCTCTAATTCTTTGTAATATCTCCAGTGCCAGATACATGGAAAGTGTTCAAACACACTCACGTATACAAATGTATATGTACAGCCAGACAGGAAGGGTGGCAGGCAAGCAACTACTTGGCTTTAGAGAGAACAACAATCAGGGGTTAAGAGTACAACCCTGGATTCATATCTTGCTTCTATGACTTAATTGATATATAACCTTGTAAAAATTATCTCCCAATGCCTTAGCCTCCTCATCTGTAAAATGGAAATAATATCAGTTCTCACTCTACAGGGTTGTTATGACAATTCAGTGAAATAGTGCTTGGAAAACCTATGCATCTGCCTGCCACAGAGTAAATTCTCACACCTTTTAAACAGCAATACTAATCTTTCTTGATAGTCCCTCATGTGATAGGAATACTTGGGTAAAACTTTCATGGATCCAGTCTAGTCAACAGCTTTGGAGATTTGACTCTAGTTGTCTGTGGACCAGATTAAATAAAGAATTAAAACTTTCATTATAAACTACAAAGTCATATGCCACTATTATTAGTGACAAAGGAACAGTTTTTAGTGTTAAATGCTCTGAGGGCTACAGGATAGATAAAGCCCAATAATACGGAGATACTGAGATGAGACTCCAAGGACATAGGCAAAAAGCTTCAAAGAAATAGATCATATATAGTTTAGTGAGATCTGGAAAGTTTTCATGGATGTGTTAAATTCAGATTGTCAACAAAAAAATGACAACTTTGAATTTTAAAAAAACTGGTTTATTTTGAGCCCAATGACCATGCTTTGGGAACATAAAGTCAAGTTAACAATACAAGCTCCCTAAGGACATGATTCCCTCAAGGACATGGTTCTTCCATGATGAAATCATGCAAGTCTTTCATAATCCCCCCAAAGTAGGTAGGGTCATCAGGTAATCAAGTTACATAAAAAAGGGGGAATCTTCCAGATTCAGATGATGTTTTCAATTAAAAAAAAAACGGAAAATTTCTACAGAAGTCAGGTGCTATCTCCTTCCCGGCCTGAAGATTTAATACAGGACAGAGGTCCCTCAAGTTTGGCATATGCTAATCCTGTAGACACAAAAATGCTAGGTCAGACACAAAAGCTGATGATGGTGAATGGCTGTTGAAGGGACCTAAAACAGTCCAGTACAACTCAGTCTTCTTAGTTTAAATACTTCATCTCTCTGCGAGGTTTCGATACTCCAATCGGTGAAATTCAAACAAACCAAAGTTCTCAAACACAAACATGTCCTCTTTGGAATTTTTAGCTTGCAAGATGGGTTTTGTGCTGAACAGGGTTGAAGGGAGACCCTTCGAGGATGAGACCAGAGACACAGGAAGGCCTGTGACATACCTGGAAATGTTTTGAACTGGAGAAGAATGGGTTGTAAGATAAATAGTAGTGTTGTGACCACAGCTGCACTAACATCAAAATGAAGAGGCTACAGTAGACCATGGAGAATCATTGGTGATTCTTTAGCAGGGAAGTTTGAACTCAGAGGACACATCAAATGGATCTCCTTGTGATGTGCAGGACGGGATGGAAAAAATGGGAGTCCACTTAAAGGACTGTCATCCTAATGCTCAGGTGAGTCAGTGGGACAGTGCAGAGGCAAGGGAGTGGAAGAGAAAGAACTTTATTAGGAAGAACCAGCTGACTGGAAGATGGCAAATGATAATCCTAAAGGACCATCTTGCCAGAAAACTGATTCAGGAACAACTACATAGGAGATGCAGACTGGTGGGTACATTCTCACAGGTGGATGTCGGTATTAAGATGACATATATCTGGGATTTTTGTTGTTTTGTGGGGGGCAGGGACTGAACCTACGGGCACTTAACAAGTGAGCCACATCCACAGTCCTTTCTTAATTTTTTTAATATTTATTTTTTAGTTTTGGGTGGACACAATATCTTTATTTTTATATTTATGTGGTGCTGAGGATCGAACCCAGTGCCTCATGCATGCTAGGCGAGCACTTTACCACTGAGCCACAACCCCAACCCGGCCCCAGTCTTTTTTTATATTTTGTTTAGAGACAGAGTCTCAGTTGCTTAGGGCCTTGCTAAATTGCTGAGGCTGGCTTTGAACTCATGATCCTCCTGCCCAAACGTCCCCAGCTTCTGGGATTACAGACATGCACCACCATGCCTGGCTACACATCTGGTCTTAATTATCTAGTCACAAGATGTTTTTCAGTTCTTCAAATCTCAAGGGAAAAAAAAGTTTATTTTTGTCCTCAGCTTTTCTTATTATTGATTAGTTTGTCTATATGCACTTCCTGGTGTTATATACAATGGATAGGCTAGAGGGGTAACTGCCCAGAGACTCTGTTATTCTATCACCACACTCACAGTAATGAAAGAAAACATACTTGACCCCATTATTGTGAAAGACAGGTTTGGGTGAAGTTATAAATGGAGTTGAGCGATCTGATCTTAATGTATGGCTTCCGTGGGAGAAGAGGAGTCATGGGAATGGAGCAAACATTATCCAGGCAATACTTTTGAGTATGGGATTCATGGACAAGTCAAAGTTTCACATACCCAAGACTTGTATCCTGGATGAGGGGAAGGATGTGGTATTAGGAGGCCACTCATTCATTCAATAAAAACTTGTTAATATCTGGTAATGTGCCTGGCACCGAGGAGGTTCGGCTGTTTGCAAAGCAAAGCCTGTGTCCTCCTGGAGCTTTAATTACCGCGGTCATTCCTGATCAGGGCATGGAAGTCTGCAGAGTATCTATTGGGAACAGGGAGACGAAGCAGAGCAAGCAAAAGAGAAGTGGGGATAGAACAGCAAGGAGCCAGGCGTGGCGTCACGAGGAGGGGGTCCTGGGGGGGGCAGGTAGCCAGGCTTTGTGAAAGTTGAGGGCAGGCTCTTCCTGCCAGCCCTGTGCCCCCACTTCCTTCCAGCCAAAGCTCCCTGAACTTCCCAGTCACACCAATCTCCCGCCAATGTTGCAAAACGAAATTCCTTGGGTAATCTCGCTTGGATTCTCCCCTTCCAGCTTCCGCTACAACTTCCTGTTCTCAGTCTCTCAGAGCTTTAGCTGAGGCCAAAATTATCCTCTTCCTGTCTCCCACGTTCACCTCTGAACGGAAGCTGTATTAGATAGGGAAGGTCCCGGAAGTGGAGCCTACTCGAACTTTGAAAGAGCCCACAAAAAGTCCTGGGGGGGGGAAGGAGATCATTTTGAGGGTTTTTGTTTGTTTGTTTTTGCTTTTACTGCCTTCTTACGTACATTACTTACAATCCGTGAAGATGAAACAGACGCTGAGGAAGGTACAAAGTTTCAAGGGCACCCTGCGAGGGGCGGCGCGCGAGGCACACTGGGAGGTGCGGCACACGGGGCAACCTGTGAGTCTCGGCGCGCGGGGCACCCTGGGAGGCGCGGTGTGTGTCCATACCAGCGCTTCCGGAGACCCGCCCTCGCCAACATGGCGGCACCCAGTTGGGGCACGTCAGATTGCTTCAAGTTTTGGCTGGGGTTGGGGTCTGGGCTTTAGGCAGCAACTGGGACCAGCGCTCGGGTCCCGAGAGGGACGTGGGAAATTAGGGACGGTGGTGTGGCGCTGCCTGACTAAGGCGAGCGAAGAGCGGCCCGGGCCTGTCCGGGGTCGAGGCGCGCTCCTGAATCGGGTCGGTGATCGCGGGCCGCGGGGACTTGCGCCCGGTTGTGGGCCTGCGTCCCGTGCAGGGCTGGAGGGCAGGAACGCCCGAACCTCGGTCGTGGATTGAGGGAGTCGGGAATCCAGACTTTGACCTCGAGGCCAGACCCTCGAGTTCCACTTCTTGTACTTTTCTTCTGAGGAATGAGTTTTAAAGGATAATTGTCCTCCGGGTTTCCTGTCTCTTGGAAACGGCTAGGTGCTTTGTATTTCTCTTCTCCAAGGACCCTCCGCCACACTCGATGTAGAGTTAGGCGCAAGTCACTTGGGTCCCCGGGGCTGACATTGCTGTCGCCAATGTGCACGGGAGACCTTCAGACTGCATCGTTTCAATGGCAGTCTTCCTTACCCCGAGACCTCCTCCCTGCTCTCTAGTTTGAGGACAGTATACTAAACTGCTATAAAGACGATTAATTTGATGCATTTTATCATTAAGATATACTCGGGTACAAAGTCCTGAGGCGAGCGAGAAGCAGAGATTTTAGTAAATGAATGATGGTCCCAAGGCTTCTGCCAATTCTCAGAACCTAGGCGTTGCCACCGCTGAAGGTGGATTAGGTTTGGTGATGCGTTTTCTTTCTTTCAATGATGATGCAAATATGCCTTTTTAAAAACAGCCTTCAATTTTTGTGGGCCAAACTCTGCATATTAAGTGCTCTGTTTTTATTATGTCATTTGTTTAAATGACCCCTACAGGACATATGGTATCCCATTTTACCTATGAGAAAACAGGCTAGATAACTTGCCAAGGGTCACACAAGTTAGTTAGGATACTGACAGGGATGAAAAAAAGTTCAGATTTTGCTGTTTCCAAAACACAAATTACATATTTTCAAAAGAACGGTAACAAAATGGACAACTGTAAGTGTAAGGTAGGGAGATTTGGGGAAAGCTTGGGTTTTTTTTTTTTTTTAAAGCATTTATATAACATCATTTCTTTCTAAAGGATAGTATTTAGTTTCACAATGTTTGGGGACCTATTTGAAGAGGATTATTCCAGTGTGTCAAATAATCAGTATGGAAAAGGGAAGAAATTAAAGAATAAAGCTTTGGAGCCACCTGCTCCCAGAGAATTCACCAATTTAAGTGGAATCAGAAATCAGGGTGGAACCTGTTATCTCAATTCCCTTCTTCAGACTCTTCATTTCACACCTGAATTCAGAGGTATGCTGTATTACATACATTTGAATAGTAATATGTACCATCCTCTTTACATGTAATTAATTATACAAAATCACAAATAGACAAAGGATCTTAAAGATGTGTTCCATGCTATGTGTTTGTTATTGCAAATATAAGGCAAATTGGTGGTTCTCCCTACAGAGAAATGTGAGGCTTAAATTATTGTTAAATGTATTCTGTGTGATTATAGTGTTTAATCACAAAATTAAAAATAAGATAATATATTTCCTAATTTCCACAGTTTAAAATGCAAAATAAAGACAATTCTGTCACTAGTAGTAGAATTTATCATTGTTATTTCTATTTTTGAGTTGAAAACTTTCTCTAAAGTAACAAACACTTAATCCAATTTTACCTAAACAATTATATTCTAACTTTAGAGTGGTAGGATTGTCACGTTATTTGTACACATTCACAGTTGTTTGTCTTCTTTTCTGAATTCTGGAAAGCTCTGACCCTGATCTGATCTGACTTGAATTTGTTTAATCTCAGAACCATAACCAGTGTGAAGCTATTCAGAGTCTTTAGTTATCTCATTTGGGTGAATATAACACTTCCTTCATATTCTTAAAGTTTAGAAATTCTGAATTCCGAAAATCCAAAGTCTTACTGTATGGGATTAGCTATATTAAAAGGTAATTTATTGTGAAGATAAACGAACTCTCCCAGAAATCAACTCTGAATTCACTGGACCCTCGGTTTCTTGCCTGTGTCTCTACATGTTTGCAGCTTTCTCCACAAGACACTTACATCTGTGTTTCTTTGATTCCAGTATGAGCATTATTTTGCCTTCACAAGGCCCTAATTGGGACACTCCCAACTGTCACACGACTTTGTAGCTCAGATCTCCACAGGGTCTCCAGATTCTGAGGATAGACAATCGGAATCATCCTATATCTGAGTATATGATCCTCTTCCTACCACTATAAAATTTATCAAATCTTCATGATGTCTTCTGCTTCTAAGCTTAGAAAGACTTTCTCTTCCAGAAATTTAGTATATATTTACCTTTGACCCCTTCCCAGGACTGTTTTAATGGATTGAACTGCATTATAGGATTTAAAAGTGGTACCTCTTGTCCTTGACCCCATTTCTGTAAAAATATCTCCTTGCTGAAGTCAGTGAATCCTCTTAGAAATTATCAGTATTAATAACCAGATTCCTACCAGACGCGGTGGCACACACCTATAATCTCAGCAGCTTAGGCTGAGGCAAGAGGATAGGGAGTTCAAAGCCAGCCTCAGCAAAAGTGAGATGTTAAGCAACTCAGTGAGATCCTGTCTCTAAATAAAATACAAAACAGGACCTGGGATGTGGCTCAGTGATCAAGTGCCCCTGAGTTCAATTCCCAGTAGCAAAAAAAAAACCAGATTCCTAAAAGGGATAAAACTTTTTCATGTTTTTATGTGGTTGAACTTAAAGGTTAAATTGAAGTAGAAAAGTAACATCAAGGAGAGACTGAGGAGGAAAGTGAAGGGATGGAACAGATCATGGAGAGTACCAGGAGGTAGGAGTAGGGTAGAAAGCCCCAGGTCAGCTTCTACTTGGCTGGCCAAGCACATGCTTTGATATCATAGTGTAAAGTATACTCTTATATGGCTTAGTATGGTTCTGATACAGATGAAGGGGGATGCGATTTAGAAACAATAAGAACTACAGAGCACTGAGGAGAAAACAAAACTTTTGGAAGAGTAATTTAAGGAGTAAGGCTAGATTAGGTCCCATTGTCCTCCTGGTACACTTATCCCACAATAGATAGAGTAGTGAAAGATGATTATAAAAGTCCTTGTATGGTTTTGTGCTTTAGCCTGTAGATTTGTTGTTAATTTTTTCCTTGTCCCATCACTAGTAAGGAATTGAACTTTCACCACAGTAATTGCTAGAGCAGCAGGGATTTTTAGTAGAGACACACTCTCCCCTCTCTAATCTCCCTGGAATGTTGCCAAGTTTCTCTGAAGGAATTTCTGCCAGTTTGTATACAGACTTTAAAAAAATTCAGATATCTCCCCATTGGTTCATAAACTTACATGTTGGATTATAAAAAATTCTGGAGCCTGGCCTGGGGCTGCCAGCTTCTTTTTCCAGATAGGATCACTACTACCATCTGTTATTACCCTCAACATGGAAAAGATGTTTTATACCAATAAAAGGAAGGGAGCAATCTCCAGGTAAAAAATGGTCCTGCCAGTGAAAGGCCCATTGGGAGACTCCTGTGATGTGAAAATACAGACTTGCAACATTTGTACTTTCTCAAGGTTCCTCCTGGCTGCTGTCAGTCCTACTGCCATAGGCAATGGGAAACAAAGAGTCAGTGTGATTGGTAATGGTTCTATGTGCAGAAATGAGTGATTTTTTTTTTAATGGATCTTCCATACTGAAGACTTAGTGTACCACTTTATTTTCTTAAAGTCAGTGATTTTAAAACATTACAAGAAAACAAAATGTATAGATTAAGGGTGTAAATATCATAACAATCATTTCTGAATCTTTTATTTTATGGTAGTCTTGGCTTTCTAAACATTTTTCTAAAATGAAATTTGATTCTACTTTTTTTTTTTAGAAGCTTTATTTTCTCTTGGCCCAGAAGAACTTGGTTTTTTAGAGGATAAGGATAAACCAGATGCAAAGGTAATAAATTTGATTTACTGGGGCATTTTGGAGTATTGAGGAAATGTTTCTTAATTATATTTATTGCCAAGTATGTCTTTATTTTTATAAGGTGGCCTGTACTTAATTAGCAATGACATTTCCCTTCCAAAAAAGGACTACTTTTCCAAATATAATGCTGCTATTGCTTTATAAACATACTTCACAGTGCTATATTTATGCTGTTTATTCTTACTTCTGATATTTACAAATTACTCACACTAGCTCATCCAAACATCTATTTAAAATATTTACTTGCACAGCAGAAACAACAAAGACCAGTATTATTTCAATTTGGTACTCTGAAAATACATTAAATAAGGAATTTGCTTATTATTTTATATATTCTGTAGTAAAATCATATTTAGTGCAGATCTAATGATGTTCTTCCTGCTTAAACTTCATTCAAACAGAAGTCTCTCATCATTTTCAGGCTCAGATTTATACTTCTTAACAGTAGTATTTCATGATGCAGCCCAGTACTTCTCCAACCATGTGGCAAAGGACCATTTTTTGTGTGTGTTTTTTTCCCCCAGTTTGTTGCAAATCAATATCTTCCTAGTATATTTTTTAAATGTCATGGAAATGTAAAATTGCTGTACAACTTTCTAAATGCATATTCTCCCTTTTAGCCCTTAAAGTCTGACCTGCACACTGGTCCCTGAGAATCATTCATTGCTCAGTCTGCTGGGCCCCTCTTATCTTGAATAAGACAGGAATAGACATGGAGCCAGCAGAGAAGGAGGCCGGGTGTGATTTGTCCCATGAGTGAGAGATGTGTGCCTAGAAAGTTCCTACATTCATCTTTTGGAATATATCTGTTCCAAAAATATCTTACAGAAAAAATGAACTATTAGAAATTCTAAGTGCTGTCAATCTATGATCATTTGGGTGGTTATTAGGGCCTATGTGAATTTAAATATTTACCTGAACTGTGCCAAGGTAGAGAACTCCAGATAACATAACTTTTAGGTCTGAATTAGAATTTTCAAATAACTGAATTCTAATTAGTTCTCTCTTTAAGATGAATAATTTATGAACTTTGTCCTAAATGAACTAGGAAATAAGAGAAAACTAGCATGCATTTCTTTGAAGAACCCTCACTTGGCCCTTGAAAGAGTTCATTGTGAAATGCATTCATTTCTCACCCCAGGTTCGAATCATACCTTTGCAGTTGCAGCGCTTGTTTGCTCAGCTTTTGCTGTTAGACCAGGAAGCTGCATCCACAGTGGAGCTCACCAACAGCTTCGGGTGGACTAGCGATGAGGTATGAAGGGCCCTGAGTAAGTTGCCAGCAGTAGAGAAAAAAGTGAATGCTGGTATGTCATGTTATCTGACTTCCTTTAGTTTTGTCTTAGAGTCTCAACATGTTTGAATGTTTCCTTCTCACAGTAAGTAATTATAATCACAAGTGTATTTTTGGATACTCACAGTGTAGGTGACACCACATTGTCATCAGAGAGGTAGGACATGGACTTTGAAGGGAAGTGGCGTGATAGTCCCTAAATAAGTGTGTTAAATTTGAGGTATGGGGCTGCCACCTCAAATTAATTCCCTTTTCCTTCCCTTTAAAAAAATTAACCATTTAATTGAGCTATACATGCCATAAAATTCACTCTTTCAAAGGGTACAATTCATTGTTTTTTAGTATTTTTACAGAGTTGTGCAACCATCACTACCATCAGTTTTTAAAAACCTTTTCACCAGCCAAAAAAGAGACCCCATATCCATTTGCAGTCACTCCCCCCATCATCCTCTTCCCCTAGCCCCTGGCAGCCACTAGTCTGTTTTTTGGTCTTGTGGTATTTGCCTGTTCAGGACATTTCATGGGAATGGAATTGTGCAATATGGGACCTTTTGTAATTGGCTTGTTTCACTGAAGATAATGTTCTCCAGTGTATTCGTTAGAGTTTGTGTTCATTCCTTCTTACTGTCAAATGATATTATGTCAGTGGATACTACACATGGTGTTTTATGATGTAGTCCTTTGTTGATGGCTTTTCCTATTTATTTGTTTGTTTTTTGGTACTGGGGATTGAACTCGGAGGTACTCAACCACTGAGCCATATCCCCAGCCCTATTTTATATTTTATTTAGAGATAGGTTCTCAATGAGTTGCTTAGCACCTCGCTTTTGTGAGGCTGGCTTTGAACTTGTGATTCTCCTGCCTCAGCCTCCCAATCCCCTGGGATTTCAGCCGTGTGCCACCAGCCCAGCTTCCCTTTGTTTTTGATAGTGAGCATCTACTAAGTTACTGGCTTTATAATTCTTAAAACTATGAGGACCTTTTCTATTTTATTTTTTCTAAGTAAAATTTTAAAGAAGTTTAACTGCTACAAGTTTTCTGTTCCCTATCAAAGTCAACAATGATATCCACATACCAAGATCAGAAGTCACTTCTCTGTCCCCAGCTCCTCTCAGTTCCCAGGATCCACCCTCCTGTTTCTTCCTTGGCAGATCTTTCTCCTCATCTCTGCCTCTTTAAATGGCAGTACACACCCTTGGCTTGGTTCATAAATTGTTCTTAAGGAATGCTAACACTTAGCTCAGATTTTAGCACATTCCATTTGGAATTTTTCTGAGTATTATGTTAGTATTATTTTTTGTTGTTTTATACTTCAAAGCAATAAATTCTATACCTTCTCTAATGTTGACAGTTACTCATATTCACCAGCCACTGTGACTTAAGTGAGCTCCACCTATGCACACGCTGCCAGCTCTGAAACAGTGGTCAAAACCTGTTGTGCTCCTGTCTTCTCTCCCTGTGGCACAGCCATGTGTGCAGTTCCCCATGTGATGTGGGCACTTTCCTTTTTAGTGGAGTTATAAGTTCACAACCCACACAACCTACACGTTTATTTCTGTAGTAGAAGTAAAAGCAGGTAGTGATCTCTTAACCTGCTCTTGGCTTGTTTTGCTTAGTCATCCTTATATCTGATCAATGCTTATCTTTGAATTGCTTTATAGATCTTAGGTTTTTGTAAACTAGTACTGTATTCTTAAAATCTGTTTTTAAAAACTTGAAGAACAAAATTACTTTTTAAAAATTACCTGTTTTGTAGGAAATGAGACAACATGATGTGCAGGAACTGAATCGAATTCTCTTCAGTGCTTTGGAAACTTCTTTGGTTGGGACCTCTGGCCATGACCTCATCAATCGTCTGTATCATGGAACCATTGTTAACCAGGTTGTTTGTAACGAATGTAAGAACATCAGTGAGAAGCAGGTGAATTCACAAGAGTGTTAGTAATAAATTATATTGTAAATTACAGTTCATGTAATTAAGTCTGATAAAAATGTTTATTATTAGAAATAATTTATCAGTTTTTTCTGTTTACTCTGACTACCCCTGAATCATCAGTTAATAAAACAGTTCCCTATGTGAACTGAAAGAAGCAAATATCTTAAAACAATATTTTACTCAGTACTCTACTGTTTAAGAAAGAGTTTTTGGGAGAAGTTTGAAAATACAAAAATTGGTCTCTTCGGAGAATCCAGTATCATCATGGTTAGACTATTGTAAATAAAATTAATTAGGTAAAAAAAAATACTGAGAATATTTAAATTGACAAGTATCTGTAATTAAATATTAGAGTTAGTTTATTAATATCCTTCAGAAAGTTTATCTCATATATGTGCTTATGTTTATGTATTAAATGTAAGTTTCATTACATATAAAGCTTTTATAATTCTCTTTACTAATGTAACCTTCAGTTCTTTTAATAATACTGATTGTTCATTTAATATGATTGGAAACTAGATATTAGAAGTTTGCTCATGTAAATATAATAATCTCTGTGCTTTACAAGTCTTATACAGCTAATTATTTCATCACTGAACTCTAATAAAAATCTTCTTTTGTTATGGCAAGAGTAAAGAAAGTTTCTGTATTTGTATGAGAGAGAAATGCTATTTTCTAAATGTGTTTGTTGCACTTTTGGAAATATAAATATGTTACTTGTGTTTTTGTATGTGTAGGTATATGTGTACACATATACCTGCATATATATATATATATATATATATATTTTTTTTTTTTTTTCTAAGAAGTAGTTGGGGAACAATAAAAACAGTGCTACTTGGCCCTTATTGCCTGTGCTAATAGAAGCTCTTTTGGTCAGCCTGGTTTGAAAATAATTAATAGATCATATTTCTTTGAATTACTGTATGATTGACTTAGTGCTAATGTAATAATTCACACAAAGTACTTGTGAAATACAGTGTATAGAAAGCACATTATAAATTGTGGACTTTAATTTTTCACACATATATTGTAAACCTAAAGTGTTAGTTTTAATACTCGAGAGTTTTACCATGAACTAAATAGTGGGTTCTCCTTTATCAGACCTCATAGTCCCTTAAATAATGCTGTTGCATACACACAGAGAACCATAAATGATTTATACTTGCCAAATTACAATAGCACTTATCACTAAAAACATATTATAATTCAAATATTCTTATGTTAGAATAGATAGACTTCCTATTTGCAAAATTCCACCCTCCTTATTTTCATAGAAACACTTGTTTATCATGGCTGTACATAATTATTTTCTTATAACTTCTTCAGTGTATCTTAAACCAAGCTTAGCAAAAGAAATTGAAGAAATAGAATTTATGTGAGATAAAATTCAACCCTGCCTTTGCTGTTATTAATTCTAGTCTAAAGACTGAAACAGTGCTAATGAACTTTGCACAGGTGTTTTGTATTTAAGTCAACTATATGTTTTATTGCATCTAAACTTACAAATATCTTCCTTTATCAATGTTTTCTTGATACATTTTATACTAAATGATAGCTTGATTTAGAAAGGAAAATTTTGTGTTATGAATGTCATAGTAATGAAGACAACTTCCTATGTACACTGTTTTAGGAAAGATACATCTGATTATTCCCAGTGTATGTTTGAGTTGGCAATGTGTTTGTAAACATCTGTGAAATTCTTTTTTCAATATTGCATTCTTGTATACTTCAGGAAGACTTCTTAGATCTAACAGTAGCAGTCAAAAACGTATCTGGTTTGGAAGATGCACTCTGGAACATGTATGTAGAAGAGGAAGTTTTTGACTATGACAACTTGTACCATTGTGGAACTTGTGACCGGCTGGTTAAAGCAGCAAAGGTAATAATGCCTTCCTTTTTCCAGGGTGCCCACTGAGAACTTGGTGGCAGCCAAGTCACCGGAAGCCACCTGTGTGATAAAGACTGAAGGATACACTTGAAGCTCTTGGCTCAAGAATAGAAAAGACTATCTTACTATCTTGTCTTTTCATTTTATTACAGTGAAGAATTTTTTAAATCTTTCATCCTAACAGCTGTCTGAACTTCTTTTTCTCCCAAGAAAAATGTTTTTATGCCTCAATTTTTCTTAAGCTGCTTTTTTTGGATAAATTCCTTGCTTTTAGCAAATCACTATTATGAAGGATATAGTAGTATTTCTGTTTTTATTCCCACCATCAAGAAGCTTGCTGAGCGTTCCTTTCTGTTTCCTGCTACTAAAATAGGTGGCTCTCTTTAATTTCTCAATATGCAATTATTTTCTAACCCTGACATACATCCTCCTTCACTTGAGCACATTCCATATGCACTTTCCCACTTGTGGGTCTTGACCTTGTTAGTCATAGTCTTCAGCACAGTACTTCTGGATTTCTTTCAGGATAGCAAAGCAAAATAGAAGATGGAGAGACAAGATGAAAGCAACTGATTTATAGTGTGAGCTAAGAGAGAAAAGTAAAATAAGTCAGTTAGCGTAGACTTCTGATATTTCTCAAATTTGTCATGTTCCTACTTAGAGTCATTTGTAGATATAATTCATAGTTATCCTAGCTTCCAGGAAGGAAGAGCCGCTTTGACAAGTGAAATGAGAGTCAACTCCCATTTAGCTTAATGGAACACCTCCCCAGTGTTATTTTCATACATCATAAATTTTGCCCATTCCAGCTCCTTTATAATGTGGCTGTGATTCATTATATCAGCACTTTGGCATTGCTGAAAATCGACCACATGTTGACATTTTGACCCAGTTTTGATGTAAGTTCTCTGTGCTTCACTAGCTGAGTCCTTAGAGTCCAGGGTGTCTTTCATAGGACAGATTTTAGAAAAACATTTTTTGTTTTTTTTAACATTTGAGTTGGTTTTTTATTTCTCCATTTTATCTTCTAGCAACCATATGTATTTCCTTTTCACCATTCTTTCACAATTGTATGTGATTTCTCAATATGGAACTTTTGTTTTTTTTTTTTCAGTAGTGAGGATTGAACTGAGGGACAAACCTGAGCTACCCCAACCCCTTCTTATTTTGAGATAGGGCCTTACTAAGTTGCCCAGGCTGACCTTGAACTTCTGATCCTCCAGTCTCAGTCTCCCAAATAACTGGGATTATAGGTGTGCATCACCATGCCCAGTAGAATTTTTTTTTAAACATATTTTTATACAATTTCCACCAAAAACATTATCAATGCTAATAAATTGCTAGGTATTAGTAATTCACTAATATTAATATAAAAGGTACTTATTACAGATTATTTCTAAATGTCTGATATGTCTGTGTGTGTATAAATTCTTAATGCCATTTCCCATTCCTCTGGCTTGAATGTGCCATCTCTGCACTTCTCTGGCTCTCCTCTCAGCTCCTTGTTCCTATGAGCAATGAAGCATCAACCCTGCTGCTTTAATTTTTACCTAGGTAGTTAACTGTCCCACTGTTACTAGATGATGTGATAGACTCTTCATAAACATTGTAAACTTATAGCTCAGTGCGGTCAATAGTTATTGAGCATTATCATAAACAGCTACCACAAAAAACATACCTGTGTAGTGGATCCATGATGCCAAAGACACATAGCACTATTCCTATGGCTGACAGTTAACTGAACTTTTCCAACAAGTAAAATGAACATTAATTTAAAATGATAATACACAATACTGATTTTGTATCCTGGAGATGATAGAAGTAAATGTAATAAAAAAGTAAACCCTGTGGCTATAGCTTTCACAACAGTCTTTGAAACCAGGAAGAAGTTTACACTGTTTAATATATGTTTTCATATATTCTACTCATTAGTAAACCTAGAGAGAGAATTACCATTTGTTTACTCATTTTGTACTTCACCTATGGTGTTAGAACTACTATCTGATAAGTATAAATCTCAGCGTTTGGAAAAGTCTTAGATACTTACTTACACATTTTTTTGTTGAACTTAATTTGCATTTTAATAGAACAGGAACCCTTTGCTAACCCTAACCTTCTGCTAAACAAATACAGTTTTTATACCTAATATTGTTGATTTAATTCTTTTTCGGTGGAATTTCTCTATTGTAGTGTATTTTTCTAGTTGCCATGTATTTGTTGCATTCTGAATTTAGGTTTTGTGTGCTCTTTGAGTAAATATAGATTTTCCTGTCCTTAGCAATCTTTTCTAATCATATAATAGCAGAGTTTCTGTGTTATTTTGGATGCATCCATAGAGCTTGTCTGAAAATCTGCCAAGTTATTTTATGGCTGGGACTTTTTTATTTAACTTTTTTTACCCACTAGATTTGTGAAATTATTATTTTAAATATATGCTTAATAGTGTTGGGTTCATATGATTATGGCCATTACTAAGAGGTCTGGGGACAAGTGATGACTTTTTTCTTTCTTTTTTTTTTTTTTTTTTTTGGTACTAGGGGTTGAACCCAAGGGCTCTGAGCCACATCCCCAGCCCTTTTAAATTTTTATTTCAAGATCTGTTCTCATTAAGTTGCTTAGGACCTCCTAAAGTGGCTGAGGCCGGCCTCAAACTTGAAATCCTCTTTCCTCAGCTTCCTGAGTCACTGGAATTACAGGCATCCACCACTGCACCCAGCTAAGTGGTGACTCTTAAATAAAAATCATCTTAATGTACTATTTAGTTTTAAACTAAGGAATTAAAACAACAAAAATACCTTAATCTGCTTTGAATTTTAAAGTAGCAACTATAAAACCCTGATCAATAGATCTTAACCATTGGGATTACAGTCCTTTTAAAAATCTAATTAAACTGTGGATCTTCTCCCTAGAGAAAATGTAAACACTTAAACTTTTTCTAATTCATGTGTTCAGAGCTCAGGTAAAATATGATTATGAAGGAGCAAGGGAAAAGGCCAGGAATTGGGCAGAAAATAGGAGCAGATGGAGAGAGATAATAAGCAGTTACAACACGTTCATCAAGTAGGATTTTAGAATGGCAGCTCTGAAAACAAAAGTAGCTTGTGAAACTTTTGTGAGCATAAATGAGTGATATCAATCACCCTTAGTCCCATAAAATAAATGAGATTCCTCAAGATATATTATTGAACCCATTGTTAATGACTGTATGTGAGTTAAGGACCTGTTTCTCCTAAAGCTTACAGGTGTATTTTTCATACTTTAAGTAACATTATCCTTTCACATAACTGCCTTTTAAAAACTTTGTGAATTTTTCTTTTAACAGTCGGCCAAATTGCGCAAGTTGCCTCCTTTTCTTACTGTCTCATTACTAAGATTTAATTTTGATTTTGTGAAGTGTGAACGCTACAAGGAAACTAGCAGTTACACGTTTCCTCTCCGGATCAATCTCAAGCCTTTTTGTGAGCAGGTTTGAATTATTTTATTTTTAAATTCTTTCTTTTCCCCTTCTATACTTGAATCTTTTATTGACCTGATGGAAGTTTATTGCAGAATTCCTGAACCTTAGCCCTGTTAACATTTTGAATTTAGTCATTCTTAGATGTGAAGGACTGTGCTGTACATTGCCAGCATTCCTGGCCTCTTTGGACTGGGATGTGGTTCAATGGTAGAGCAGTTGCTTAGCAGGCCCAAGGTCCTAGCTTTGATCCCCAGCACCACAAAAAAAAAAAAAAAAAAATCACCTGGCCTACTTAATAGATGACAGTAGCATCCCCACTCCTCTCCCACTTTGGCAATGAGAATGTCTTCAAATGTGGTCAAAAGTCCTTATGTCCTAGAGATGGGGTTGCAAAATTGCCTTGGGCTGAGAACTTCTGATTTGTTTACAGTCCTTTTGAATCTAAAGTGTACAAGTTCTCTGTTCTCTATTAAACTCTTCTTGAAAAATCTTTGAGATGAAAATTTTAAAACAAAACTTAAAATGATCCTGCTTTTAGAAAAATTACCATTAATTGGTACTTTGCTATTTGGATTTAGTTTATTTTAGACGTGATAATGAATTACATGTCTAGAAAGTGAACAGACAAATGGAATTTTTCTAGTCTAGAATTTGTAATCCTTAAGACACAGGAAAGAAAACATGTTGAAAGCAAGTTAATTATAAAAACAAACTACTTGATGAGCCACTTATAGTTTTTATATCATTATTATACATGCTAAAATGAGAATGATGAGACTGGTATATTTCTTATTATAAATCATTCTTATTTTATTAGGAACAGAATATTTATTAGCTAGGTATTCAATATCTGTGAAAAAAAAGTAATCCTTTTGTTAACATTCTTTAATTCAAACTCTTCACAGGCGGGCCTAATTGCTCAGGTTTTTGGGTTTTTTTTTTTTAATGTTTGAATTTTCAGAGATTCTAGTATTCTGTGGATGCTTAGCCTATTACTGGCATACTCAAAATCAATGATTTTCCTAGGGTTAGTTAATATATTCACTACTCTTTTTATAAAAAGTATTTCATCATGTGATTTAACATACTTCAATATAACAGATCTGAAATAAGTAACTGACCACTTATCTAGGACATCCACATCAATTTTGCTTTTGAATTTCTATTAGTGTAGAAACACCTTGCATCTTTGTGTATCTCTCTCCTGTCTTTTGCCTAAATCAGACATTTTCAATTACTGTCCACTCAAAAACTGTAATATTTTAATCAAATACATTCCTCTGGTAACTAGCATCCCTCAGCAGACACCCATGTATGCATTTACATCACAAGTTACACTGGTCTAGTTTGGATGGCACAATCAGAAGGGAGCTTATGTCAAGTGCTTCAGACCCCCTGGAAAGTGAAAACTAAGGCTTTCTTGTTCTTCTGCATCAGAAATTTAAAGTGTCTCTTAATCTACTGTAGTTGTTTCCATTTGTTTTGATTTTAATTGCCAGTGTAGAAGTTTATCTCTTGGGTTACATGTAAATATAAAGTGCATTAATTAATTAATTATAGAAAAGTTTGATCATAGAATTAATAAAGCAGGAAAGAACTTCTTCATTCTACATATTGCCTCTAAACAAGAACAACTAGTGTTCACAACTGCTAAATTCCTGTACTGTTCAGATGACTGAAATGTCTGGAGGGTTAATAGTTGTTCCTGGTTGAAACATAGGACAGTTTCGTCAAGTATAGAACATGTGTGTTTCACATCATGATAGATATATACAAAGATGGTTTTCTCTTGCTAAAAACCTCTAGCTTACATGATCTCAGCCCAAACTAACAGCTTTTTCAGATACATGTGTTCACGTTTAAGTGAGAGGCAAAAATAGATGAATGTAGTGTGTTTAGTAGTTGAGCAATGAATTTAAAATTTTTTAATTTTTAATTTAAAGCCAGTCTTTTAAATTTATCTTACCTTTAAATGACAGTGATATTCACTGTAATTTCTAATTAATTTCAATACTTGGAATTCTTTTTCCATTCTACTTACATATATTTTAGCATCTTATGTTAAACTATCCATGTTTATTTTCCTTTTTTCCTTTAGAGTGAATTAGATGATTTAGAATATATATATGACCTCTTCTCAGTCATTATACACAAAGGTGGCTGCTACGGAGGACATTATCATGTATATATTAAAGATGTTGATCATCTGGGAAACTGGCAATTTAAAGTAAGTGTACAAAATCATTTAGAAATATCTTTCGATGTCTTGGTTTTTCAGTTCCTTTTACAATATTTTGTTGATGATCTTTTGCCATTTATTGTATACTCACCCTGTAGAAAACTTTGATAGGCATTAAGTTTGGCAATGTCTCGGCTGGTACAAGATCACGAGCCACCACACACCTTGTAGATTCAAACAGCAATTCTTTATTCCCGAACTCACACCAGCCTCTACAAACACGTTCTGGGGAAATCCAAGTTCTGCCAGCCCAATTCACCTACTCCTATTTTTCAAATCCCATTTGAATCTCATGAGAACTCAAGGGAACAAGCAGCAGGAACACCCTAATCCCAGCAGCAATAATCTTCAACCTCCAACTTCCCTAAAACCCCTATTGTCTTAAACCAGGAACGCCTTAAACTCAAGGAGCGGGGAAACTTCCTCAAACCTGATCAGCTCTAAATCCGGATCCGCCCTGGTCTTTGAGCAAGGTCACCTTACTAAAGCATACATGCAATGTCCCATCGAATGTCCTCTAAGCAGCATGGGGTATGCTGGCAAGGAGATTTTGATGCGACATTCCTACTTGGCAATGGCCCTCAGCAAAGTTAATTCAGATATGTTTTAAATTTTTATTTCTAAATAATTTTGCATGTACAGAAAATACCACAGTAGTACAAATACTTCCTGTGCACTCTTTACCTAGATTCTCTAGTTGTTAACATATTGCCACATGTTTTAGTTAGCTATTTCATCACTGTGACTGAAAGACCTGACAAGAACAGTTAGAGGAGGAAAAGTTTATTTGGGGGCTCACAGTTTCAGAGGTCTCAGTCCATAGATGGCCAACTCCATTGTTCTGGGCCTGAGGCAAGGTAGAACATCATGGCAGAAGGCCATGGAGGGAGAAAGCAGCTTAGAATATGGTACCAGGAAGCAGAGAGAGAGAGAGAGAGAGACTCAACAGGCACAAAACATAAGCCCCAAGGCACACCTCTGACCCAATTTCTCCAGCTCTACCCTATCTGCCCACAGTTACCATCCAGTTGATCCATATCAGTGTATTAATGCACAATGATTAAGTCAAGGCTCTCATAACCCAATCATTTGTCTCCAACCTTTCTTTCATTGTCTCACAATGGGAAATACCTCATATCTAAACCATAACCCCACATTTGTGCATGTGCACACACAGACATGTATACATTATTAACATCATTGTTAGTGTTGAACCAAGTAAATGGAAGCCATTAGACTCCTTTACCTCTAAATACTAGCTGTTTATCCACCAAAAACAAAGATATTCTCTTACATAAGCATAGATAAAAAACCAAGAACTTTTAATACTGGTATATTGCTATTGTCTAGTGTATAATTATATTCAGGTTCTACCAGTTGTCTAATCTATATCTTATGAAAATGTTTTTCCCACACTAGTGTCAAATCCAAGATCATGTGTTAGATTTAGTTATCTTTTTTTTTTTTTTTAGGTCTCTTTCACTCTAAAACCATCTCTCAGCTTTACAGTTCCTCTGTTATGACAAACTATGGAATTTTTCCAGCAAATAAAATGAGCATTGATTTAGATAACACACAGTATGGATTTTGCATCCCGCAGATTGTAAGTGAAAATGTACAAGGCTTTCACAGTAGGATTTAAAGCCAGGGCAAATTTTATCCTATTTAATGTAATATGACTGCAATGTCATGTCTTCTGTGGTTGCTCTTTAAAACAGCACTCATTGACCATCACGTAATGACATTTGAAACACTGGTCCTTCCTCAGGACCATAAAACAAAACAAAAAATGTAAGTCCTTCTAGATGGCTTTCTGTGAATGGTATAAGAATTTTTCCCCAAAACATTACCCATTACCACCTATTGAATAATCGCTTTTCTCCACCAACTTAACTGTGTCAGTTTCATTAGATCTATTGTTCATTAATGCAGGAGTCTTATTTTTTAGATCTCTATTCTGTTCTATTCATCCTCCTCCTGGGCAAATACACACTTAATTGCCATAGGTTAATTTTAAATCATGCCATCTGGTGAGACAAGTCTCCCTACATGCTGCTCTTCAGGATTGTCTTACCTATCTTGTTTATGCTTCTGTGTGTCTTCCTAGAATCACCTTCCCATATTTTCACATATGCACATGCCCCTGCATGCGTGCATACATAGGGGTTTTGAGTCTTCATATATGAACAAGATATATCTCTTTAAAGCTCCTTTGGTGTCTTTTTAAAAGTTTCATAATTTTCTCAGTGAATTGTAGAGGGTCTTGGAAAGTGCTCACTAGAGTCTACTGTGACATTAGAATACATTTCACATCAACCCTATGCTCTTCACCAGTTTCTAAAATGAAGCTAAGTCAATCACATTCTTCCATTTCTTTGACCTTAGTGCAGTATCCAGTTCTGGATTCAGAAAGCTGTGCAGACATTGCTGTTAAATGCTATGCCACTTTTGCCAAGACACCACCATTTTGGGCACCTTCCTGATCAGATAAAATGAAGCACCTCTTATCCTTGGTGATTATTAGAAGAAATTTTTCCCTTCATTCAGTACTAAGGTCAAGGCAGTCCAGTTTATTGCCCTTTATTGTGGAATAATTTTTTTTCCATATCATGCTTCTAGTGAAGGTGTAGCCCTTTAGGATTTCCAACTTTTTGCTGCAGTCTGTCACTGTGGTATGTAAAAACTATATACAGTCATCCCTCAGTGTCTTTGGGGAATTGGTTCCAGAACTCCCTATACCAAAAATCCATGGATGCTTAAGTCCCTTGTTTTTCAGTTTTCTATTCCATTCTATTCTTTATCCTGGAAAAAATGGCAATAATATTTGCATATTACCTACACACACATATGCCTATATATATGTATACTTAATCTCCAGGCTATTTATAATATATAATGTAAAATACCTAGCAAATAGTCACTACCCTCTATTGTTTTGGGACTAATAAAAAGAAAAAAGTCTCTACATGTTCGGTACAAACATTCTTTTTTTCTAATATTTTGATGCACAGTTGGTTGAGTTCACAGGTATAGATCCCATAGATACTGAGCATCTGCTGTATTTGTTGTCTCCAATTCCAGTTCCTGGTATATAGGTCTTTAGAATTTCTTGATGGAAGTTATTTTATTCATGATAAGCCCCTTTCCACCTTACAGTGTTCATGCTAAAGAGTCCACTCTTAGATGCCTTAAGATGGGGTCTGGTTGCCATATGAGATGCAGAATCCATACTGTGTTTTATCTAAATCAATGCTCATTTTACTTGATGGAAAAATTCCAGTTTATTATAACAGAGGAACTATAAAACTAAGAGATGGTTTTAGGCTAAAAGAGATCTAACACATGATCTTGGATTTGACACTAGAGTGGGGAAAACATTTTCATAAAAGACATAGATAGGACAATGGTAGAATTTGAATATAATCATACATTAGACAATAGTAGTATGCCAGTGTTCAAAGTTCTTGGTTTTGATCTATGCCTTAAGATGGGGCCAGATTGCCCACTGATGAGAGGGGTGGAATTTACATCCCATCTCCTGACCTTGGGGAGTGGGAAAAGACAAGAGGATTGAGTTCACCAATGGCCAGTGATTTAATCAGCACTGCCTCCACAGTGAGCTTCAGTGCTTGAGTAGGGCTGGGGTTTTGGCTCAGTGATAGAGTGCTCGCCTAGTACATGTGAGGCCTGGGGTTTAATCCTTAGCACCACATAAGAATAAATAAAGATATTGTGTCCAACTACAACTAATAAATAAATAAATAACCCTTGAGTAATGAGGTTTGGGGAGTTTCCATGTTGGTGACACATCTGTGTACCGGGAATGTGGCCCCCTGTGGGGACAGGCTTCTCTACTCGCCACCTTTCTGGACCTCACCCTACAACCGCTTCATCTAGATGCTCATTGGAATCCTTTATAATAAACTGTAGCATAGGTTCCTGATATCTGTGAATTGCTCCACTAAATTATGAACCTGGAATAAGGGTTGTGTTTACCCTAGAATTTGCAACTGATCAGGTAGAAGTGTGAATAACCTGAAAACCCCATTTATGGTTAGGGTACCAAGTGGGAGTCAGTCTTATAGGACTAAGGCTCAACCTGTATAATCTGTTTGGGTACAGATAGTTAGTGCCATAATTGAACAGAATTGTGGGACATTTGGTGTCAGAGGATTTAGAGAATTGGTAATTTTTTGAAAAAAAACTCAACTCTGTGCTTTGGGTAAGCCTTAGGTTTCCTCTCCCAAACCCTTTACTATTTGAGCATCAGAGTGGAAGCTCAGTATCAACAAGATTGGTGTCTTAGTCCATTCAGGCTGCTACAACAATACTTTTTATAAACAATAAAAATGTATTACAGCTCTGGAACCTTCCTTAGAAAGTCCAACATAAAGGTGCCAGCAAATATTTTATATCTGCAGGATTTACCTACCACTTTATAGATGGTACCTTCCTTTTTTGTTTTGTTTTGTTGGTATTGAGGATTAAACCCAGGAGTGCTTAACCACTCAATCACATCCCCTACCCTTTTTATTTTTTTAATTTAATTTTGAGACAGGGTCTCACTAAATTGCTTAGAGCCTCTCTAAGTTGCTGAGGCTGGCTTTGAATTTAAAGTCCTCCTGGCTCAGCCTCTAAGTTGCTGGGATTCCAGGAATGAGCCACCACCACTGTGCCCAGCTATAGATGGTGCCTTCTTGCTATGTCCTCAAACAGCAGAAGTGGCATACAAGTTCCTTGGAATCTCTTTTATAAAGGCACTAATCCCATCATGAGGGCCCACCCTTATGACTTAATTGTTTCCTGAAGATGCCATCTCTTGATACTATTGCATTAGGGTTAGGTTTCAACATACACGTTTAGGAAACAAAAACATTCAGAGTGCAGCAGTTGGGATACTAAAAGCCTTCACTCTGTATTTCCTACCTGGATTTCCATTTCACTTCTCAACCTCAGAGGATATTCCTAATGTGTAAGTTTAAAAATATGTTTTATGTTTTGCTTTTACTTTAGCATTTTTAGTAATTTTGCAGCTAGATGGTTAGATCTGGTGCCACATTCTTCTGTTATTTCTTGATTTTTTTTTCCTTGTGTTAATTTTTAAAGTCTCCTTGTATTTATAGTTTTAAGCCAATTTAAAATACTTTTGCAAGCTTTTACATATGAAAAAAGAGTCAATAAAAATTGCTCACCAGGGGAATTTTGACACATTCCCCAATGCCATTATCAAATGGGGTATAAACTTTTTGAATATCAATCAGGAAATGAAAAGAAGTGTTTAAATTGAGCCCACAAAAATGGATTGGAGTTTTTAGGCCAATATGAGTGAGTGAGAACATGGCAGATGAAACCAGAAAATATTTGGAACTGAGTGATGATGATGATAGTTCAACATACCAAATTACCACATGACTCAGCCAAAGCAGTGTTTGGCTAGAAGACATTGGTGCCAGTGTATACCAGATTCTAATCTTTACCCAGTTTGTAAGATAAAGCCAGAGCTATCAAGTAATTTGCTCAGAATTGCTCAACAAAACCTGTATTTCGAAACCAGGTTGGCCCGACCCAATGCATATTGCAGATTATTGTTTTCTACCATCATTTCTCCAGTGGCATAGACACTCCTATTTTATTAATTCCTCTAAGAGATTTGTGATAGAAAATCTTATTGCTTTCCTTCCTAGCAGGAAGAAAGAAAGCCAGATGTGAATTTGAAAACTCTTCAAAATGAAGAGGAGATTGATGATCCATTGGTGATACTACAAGCAGTAATATTACAGGTAGGTTGTGTCTGTTTGTGTATTTGTACTTATATAGCTATCATAAGTGGGTGAGCTTATTTATATGACATCAGTCACATTATTTAGGGACAACTCTAAAAAGGAAAATGGACTCAATTTAACTTAAACACCCCCATTAAATGCCTTTAACCACCCCTTTAAATGCCCTAACTTCAAATACAATTACATCATTAAGTATTGCAGGCTAAGGATTTAACCTATGAATTTGGGGGAGACACAGTTCAACCTATAATGGTTACATCTTGTCCCCTTCCAGAAACTTGTATACTTTGAAATATTCGATAAGATGTTAATAATATTTTTTACTTAAATATTTCTTCTAAAAATCATATATAATATCAGGAATTTATCAAACATCAGGATACCCTTTGGATATAGTTAAAATGTGGCACATAGTAGGAATACCATCTATAAAGTGGTGAGTCCTGCAGATACTAAATTTGCTGGAACCTTCAAATACAGAGAGACTTTAAAAAAATAAGATTTTCTGAACCTAGGTTTAAGCTACTTTCCTGAAAAAAAAAATATAATGAATAATTACGATTTATTTTATTTCATTTCATTTCTTTGCAGTACAGGAGCTCAAATCCAGGGATATTTTACCACTGAGCTGTATCTCCAGGCCTTTTATTTTTTGTTGTTGAGACAGTGTCACTAAGTTGCCCAGGCTGGCCTCCAACTTAATATTCTCATGCCTCAGCCTCCTCAGTAGCCAGTATTATAGGTATATGCTATCATATTATGGCAATAATAATGATTAATCCACTTACGTGTTTTTGTTCTAGGCACATGTAATTACATAAAATCCTGTTGATCCCTCAGAATTTGTGTTGCAATTATTTCTCATCAGACTTGTTTAAATGACTTTGTGTTTATTTCATAAGGAGGAGAATAATCTAATATCTGTTGATCAACTGGGCCAGAAACTGTTGAAAAAAATGGGAATATCTTGGAACAAGAAGTACAGAAAATATCATGGGCCACTGAGAAAGGTAATACATGGCGTCAACATAGGAAATCCTAGTCCCAGGATATTTTGTTATGTTCCTAACAATTTTTTTTTAATTGGTTGTTCACAACATTACAAAGCTCTTGACATATCATATTTCATACATTAGATTGAAGTGGGTTATGAACTCCCATTTTTACCCCAAATGCAGATTGCAGAATCACGTCAGTTACACATCCACAATTTTACATAATGCCCTATTAGTAACTGTT